TGCTTTATCCATAGGACCTGTTTTGTCTCTATTCTCAAGAATCTCTGATATACATAAATAAAACATTTAATAGGAGGCACGCGAGTGTATCAGGTAAAAGTTACGAATGCATCACCAGTGTTAAAATAACGAATTTCATCTAGATCTTGTTCACATGGTGCATCTGTTTAGTAAAAATGAGTAAAGAAACTTATTTGTTGAGCAAAAATAATCAGGGACGGGTCAAAGGGAAAACACTCAGAGATTGTTCTCGTCCATCATGGTGGATCTGACCGAGTCTGGTGAATTTTCTGCAATTGTTTTCTTTAGTATCTGTAAAGCTGGTGTCCAGCAGTACGCAAACAGTTCTGTACATTACCACACTGATGATTTCAGTCCCTGAAAAAATGTAGGTAGAGGCCCCATTCCAACACAAGGTGGCAGCATAATCTAATGACTTTTTCTGGTTCCTGAATCCCAGGAACTAGAAAAATCATGTCGTTCTTTTTTGTTTGTTTGTTTTTTTACTCAAACATTAAAATGTTTGTCAGGAATTCTGACTGCAGGCAGAAACAATCAAAAGCAGCTTTTGCTTGCTATTTTCCTGTAATTAAAAGACGGTGGATTGCTGCCAGGATCCCCAGGGCTAACACTCTGGTCCTTATGTTTCATCACAGAATATAGGAGTTTGTGTTTGTCTTCCTCCAGTAATTGCTGAAGTTCCCACATTTCTCTTCTAGGCAGGACGTTACAAAAAAATGTGAAGGGTAGACGACCTTTCAGATAGGCCCGTCGCAATAAACAATGAATCTATATATCTGTAAATCAATTAATCGCATGATAAATGAAAACAAACACAGTAATTTCTATTTGCATGATTTATTGTTTTTCTTTCTCTTTTTCTCCCAAAAGCTGAATGACAAAAGTCTTCAGTTTGATGATATGGTCTCAACTAGACCATTTTTCTGAAGGACAATTTTGTTTACAGAGACTTCATAATTCATTGTATTTGTCGTTTCTGTTGTTCTTTTTTATGATTATTCTTATTTATTTATTTTGGATATTTAACACGTATCCAAAGTACGTGTTAAATATCCAACACGTATATTGGATATATGTGTTGGAAGACTAAAGAACATTTAATCTTCCAGTGCTAAATGTTCATTAGAACATTTAGCACTGGAAATGTTCTAATGAGCTTTAAATTCTAAATGTTCATTAGAATTTAAAGCTTATTGTTTTCTGGGGAACGTACAAAATGCATTGAAGCAAATTCTTGATTACTTTGCATTTCTAACGTACAAGAATCGTAAAAAGGTGTCTCGTTTTTGGTTTGCATGAGGTCGTGAGGTTGTGTATGTGTGCGGTTTAAAGTCTGGTATGTGTGCGAAGGTGCTCCAGAGCTCAGAGCAGCGACTCTGTGTCGTGAATAGTTGTCCACACGCTCAGGACGCATCTGGTGCATCCATATGCGTCCTGAGCATCTGGATGCAGTTGTTCGTTGTGATAGGTCACAACAAACAACTATGACCGAATGAGATAATTTATTTTTCGTCGTGTTGTGAATCCTGATCCCTACCTGAAGCCTTCAAGCAGTAAAACTTGAATCTTAAACCCTCTCCCCTCCTATCCCACAAAAAAAACAACTTCTTTGTGTCTGTTTTTGTTGCCTGAGGGATCACGGAGGGAGCACAGATGGGTCTGGACTCACAGGAGCACAGCGAGACACCTGTGCAGCCAGAGAGCAAGGACTGGAGACCAAAGCAGAACCAGGGGGAGCCAGAGAGAAAACACCAACGCTTGGGAGAGCAGGCAAATGACGGGCTGACAAAATTAGACAAAGGACCAGAGTCTTACAGCAGACATGTGGCTGCAGCAGACATGAGCAGGCATAAGGTGAGAAGGAAAATCACTGCCTGTGTGTTGAATGTTAACTATTTTTTTATTATTAGTATTATTTCGGTGCCTGAATCAAGCATAAACACACTCTCTTAGAAGAAACCTAGATAAGGTTTGTGTTCAAAATGTACTAATTGCTTAGAGTTTAAAGGTCAACCAGTTCCCCCACTTTTACTTAATCAAAATTATTAATCAAAATTACCTTTTCAATTTTCATAAAAATCTTCAAAGCCAAAGCAGCACAAACAAAAAAAAAGGTGTGTGTGTGTGTGTGTGTGTGTGTGTGTGTGTGTGTGTGTGTGTGTGTGTGTGTGTGTGTGTGTGTTTGGGGGAAGGGGGGTGGCATCAGGGATGCTGGTTGACCTTTCATGACCTCTATAAACATTTCTTAATATATTTTAAAGTGATAGCTGCACAAACAAAAAATTTTGCTGCACAAACGTAGCATCAATTTTTGACACCAATTTTTGTCTGATTTGAAGAAGGTTGGGGGGGAGGGGGCGCAACTTCACTCAGGTATTAAATAGTTATGTATTTAAAAAGTGTATGGATGTTTTTTTTCCCCCCTTTGGTTCTACTGTATCATTTAATATATAAAATTAAAAGAAAACAAAAAACAAAAAGTTTATAAGATGACTTCTTCCAGTTTGGAATTCTTCCTGTGGATTTTATTGTTTTAATTACAGCTTCAGCTCCAGTCTTCCACAAATCATTCACATATTTAGAATGCTGCTATCTGAGGACGGTGTGGGAGCAGGCAGCTTCTTATGAAAGTGTTGCAGCACAATAGACACATAATCCTGCCTATGTGTCAAAACAGTGTAGAAAGTAGTAAGATGAATTACACAAGACGACTCTTTAGTAAACAGTTTAGTTGCAGAACCACACACAGGGGCAAATTGATTTATGCCCCCTGAAGGCATCCAGTAATTCCTTATATCATTAATACGGGGAGGCAACAGGCAACTAAACCAGGATATCAAAATTCTTGAGATTGCTTTATAAACTTCAAGTTAAAAAAAATACATGCTGGAAGAAAAGCGTGTCTGCAATTTAATTTAATTCTCTTTCAGATTATTTCTATAAATCGTCTTCACTAATATTTGGTTAGTGAAGAAAGAGCACAGCGGACGACTGACCTGAGGGCCTGTGATCACTTTGGGTGGATGGTTGTTTTGTCTGAATAGTCCAGGAAAAGTCACCAGATCTTGTTATACATGCCTGGCCAGAACCTGCAAGAGAGCATGTAATATTTTGAAGTTTCACGTGTGTCAAGACCTCCTTGAGCCAGCCAAGGTGTGGAGGAGGTTGAGCATTTTCCATTTGAATATTTGTGAAGCCAAATATGCATCAATTTGCTGTTGATGCATATTTGGCAGTTTAAATGTGGGAGTATTGAATAAAATGAAACAAGGATCAGAAATAAGGTCACCTTTCACCGCTACTGCGAGAGTGTCAAATATTTGGCTCTAGACATGTCAATGACGGCTGGATACACTTTCAGCAGCAAAGCACTGGAGTGGTATACTCTGAAAAGAACCTTGATTGTGCTAAATTGAGCTTTGTATATATGGAGGAAATTTGAACCAATTTACGAATTAGGTCCCGCTGACTGTCTGGGATCTATTTGCTCTTCAAGGTTCATTTAAGATAAACAATCGGAGCTGTATCAGGGGAGTCGCTGAGGCTATATTCAAGGAAATAAAAAAGTATCTCTGAGCAGAGTCCTGAGTGAGCAAAGAGTCAAGCAGTGACCCTGGAAGACATTTAGCAAAGTAAGGCTGGTGGATTTGACTAGCAGTCTAGTTTAAAGGAAGCATGAAAAGGGGCAAGTGGTAAAAGACTTTTCTCTGTAAAGGTCATTGACCTTAACTTGGTAAGGTTGGAAAGGAAGGGAGTGAGGGAACATAAGATTTAAAAAAAAATGGAGCTTCAGTTGGAGGTTCCTGCAAACTGTAGTGTTTACGAAACTGAGTTCAAATGTTTAAGGAATTGGTGACCGCAGGATTCGGTGAAATGTTCTGGCTCTTGAAGGGAAGTGGTGCCATGACAGGAGATTTTATGGAGAGACGTTTATGCTTTTCTTCATGAACATCTCAAAAAACACATGGGGATTCTCAGAAGTGGGGTAGCAATGGAGCAAAACACAAAGAGCAAACGTATTTACACACAGATATATTTGTGAAAAGGGAGAATGTCCTCGGTTCATTGGTATTTTTGAGATACGCCATGAAGTCAAGGAGATAGCATAACTAAGGAACCACTGTCAACAATTGACTAGTGGACCAAAGAAATGAGACCAAGAGGCTGTTTAACAGTTTCATTTCCAATATTATGATGGTGTTGGGGCCTCTTAAGGTTTTGTATGGCCCACAGTCTTGAGTAAGAAGGACCAGGATTCCCGCTGTAGTTTCTAAGAGCTTTTTAATGATGAGGATCTGTGGAAGAATAAGCAATAGTTAAATTCACTTAGAAACTTTACTTGGAAAGATTATTTAAATTACTCAGAGGGGGCCAGTACTTACAGAGGATCTTGTGACGAGTTGCAGTAGAGTCGGGGTCTTCCTGAAGGTTTCAACTGCACACTTCACTGCTGCAATTACTGGGGAAAAGATGCTACCTGGGCACCCCATGGTGTTCTTGTTAGAGGCTAATTCATTTCTATTCTTTTATTCCAGCGAGAAGAAACGAACCATCATGTGGATACCTCTAAAATCTCCTGTCTGTCAGAAGAGCATTTAGAGTCTCTTTCCCAGAAGAACTCCTGTATGTCCGAGTGCCCTCCACCCAACCTTCATCAAGCCCCAAACACCTCACATAACTCTGGCACTCCTACCAACAGCATTCATTCCAGCCTTTTGAGCTCTCCACCACTGGAAATCAACCATCTCTATTTGCCACAGAAGACCTGGGACAGAGGCATCATCCTCTACGACCAGCAAATGCAGGTCTCGCGTGAATCAGATCTCAGCCAGGATGCTGCGATTCCGATTTCCACATCAGAAACACAGAGTGTCTTTTTTTGTGCTGAGCCCAGCCTGCAGTCATTCTCATGTCAAGATCAAACAAAAAGCACTATCAGTTTTTCAGCTCAGCAAGGCTGTACCGCCGCTGGTAACTACAGCTGTGATGTTTTCACTGGAGAGAGGAAAACCAACTCTTGCGTCTTACCAGATTTTAGAACATTGTCCTCTTCGTACTTAAGCCAAGTTCCCAAAGTCTGCAGAGGTACTGGTGAGATGACCGGGGACATCCAAATGCTACCAGACAAACAGATTACTGAATCTCCGTCTCAGCCGTTTTTGTTTCTGGAACCTGAAAAGAAGCAGGATGCCATGGACTCACTGAATGACTTCATAGGTCAGAGCTCTAACTCTGGGAGGCCTGACATTACCAGCAAATACCAATCCGTTTTCATGATTGGGTCCTTTCACGGCTACCAGTCTTCAGACTGTCTGCCCAGTGGAGTAAGGCCTGTTCCAAGCTTTCAAGACAACACAGAAGATATCAGCAGCAGTGACGATGAAGGAAAACTCATCATTGAGCTCTAGTAAAACATGACAGAAACTTATTTTACAGACTATTTTTTTGCTGCTGTGTATATTTTTATGAGGCAAACTACTCAGAAGGGAAGAATAAGAAGAGTGGATGATTTAATTCAGTGGTAGATGAAACAGGACTGCACATATGGATTTTTTTTAGATGGCTTTTGTATAGGTGCAAATATGTATGACTGTTTGTATGACTGTAATTTGTATGACTGTAAAAGTAATCTTGTGATAATACTGCAAAGAGTAAATTAAGCTGCGATTCCAAACATATTACTTCATGGTAACTCAGGTGGTTTTGAATGCCTCCTCACCGTCATGAATCTAATGCATTCACATTGTAGAGTTGAGAATGCAAATCCCTCCCATGGATTTCTGACAGCAACCAACATAGCTGCAGCACATGTAAATGGTAAATGGCCCATACGCTTAATCAAGTCCAGAGGACTCCAAAGCGAGTCACACTGCATTCAGTCATTCACCCGTTCACACCCACATTCACACGCTGATATTTTACTACACATGTAAAACACATAGGGGTACACTGAATGTAGTTTACTGGCTGATTACCGATCTTTTAAAGCCTGATCTGCCGATTCCGATTTTGGCCGATACCAACTTTTTTTTTTGTCTGAAATGAACCTAAATATAGCAAAAAAGTCACAGAGTTGGCAACAGTGGGGTGACTAATGTTAACTTCAAGCTTTCAGACATGACCTGGTGGGCCGGTCGGTCAGATAACATCTCCCACAGGAGAACAGAAGAGGACAATGTTGATACTCAGGCATTTTCTGAGGCATAAAAGAGGTAGATAACATCGTCTTCACAGGTAAGTATCAGCCAATCACCGTTCTCCCAAAATTAAGGGAACTGGCCAGTAAATTGGTGCAGCCCTAAAAACAAAGCATCCTAAAACTTGAAAGTACAAGATACTGATTAGCAGTTCTGATAACGGCTGATTTGGCACATATAAGTATCAGCCACTACTTGTCAACACATCCCAAAAAATAGGAAATATATTATGAGCTTGTATTGCTAAAAGTAGCAAACCGAGCCAAACCAATCAATCTAATCTAAAGACTTTAAGTTTATGGCCTTGTGAAATGCTGACCTATTCAGAATGAAACCTGCCTCTCACTTCTGCTGCCGGGGCAGGCTAAGCATCACATTTTGAAATTTAAAACCACAGGATCTGATTTGAACTAATCGCTAATGTTTGGCCGTAATGTATGTAATGCGCCCGGCTCGACGGAGCTTGCCAGAAATTACGTGCACTGTACACAACCCCATGAGGAGTAAGGTCTCCACATCTTTGCCAGTAATAAAATGTCTTAAACGTTCCTCTTGTTCTGGCTTCAATTGCTCAACATTTGGAAGTGTGGCCAACACCTACTGAATGGCTTTGTTTACATCCCCCTGCTGTGGTCAAACTACAAACACAAACAGACTGCATTTCTCTTTTTTTCGGCTCTAATGGCCTTTATTTGAAAGTGCTCAGACAGGAACATAGGTAAAGAGAGAGAGGGCAGCGCCACCAGGTCGGGAATCGAACCTACGACAGCTGTATTAGGGACTAAGACCATATTATGGGGCGTGCTGCGCCACCACAGCATCCCCCTGACTGCATTTCTAAAAACAGCAGAGTCACTGTTCACTACTCCTAACTCTGTTCTCTCATTTGATTGGTTGAAATTCAATCCAAGAAATCAAACTCAATTTGAGAAATCCCAGATGGAGGCCTGAAGGGAGATGAGAATCAAATTGTGTACTTAACCCAGATATTAATAGCAATTAAACTTAATAGAAAGGCTAGTTTTAATCTAACAAGAATAAATTATGTTGATAAAGCAAGAGACAGCTTTGGGGCCTCTGAATATGAAGCCACTCTCTGTTATGAACATATGAATAGATTTGTTTCGGATCAGCTTCACTTACTTGGACTAGAAAGGATCGCATGTCTCTTTGAAATCAAGATGTATCCCCTTTGCTAACTCAACCCACTGTCTTTACCTCTGCCCACACACTCCACACACACCCAGCACCTATAAAATCAATCTGTCTCTACCTTCCCACAGTGACACCCACTTATTAGTGAATTCTATTATAGTCCCAGACAACACCTGCTTGTGTGAATCACGTCCACATGTTGCCAAATATCTGCAAAGTTAATCTTTACTGCCAGTCAGAGAAGAAGAAGGTGGCTGGAGGGCCTCGGTCCCTGTCCAAGTGTCAGTCTCGGAATGAGTCAGCAGGTAAAATAAAACCACTAACAACAGGAAGTGTGTGGATGTGTAACATTCCTGAAGTCGGATCACAGCTTTTGCTCATATTGATTTGCTTTTTTTTTCCTCTGTCAGTTGTCATAAAACGTTTTGCACCTGACGGGGGAGTTTAGGGGGAAGTCTGTTTCATCACCAGTGCATCTGCTTAGGCTTGTTTTATTCCAAATGTTAACAAAGGTCATTATTATTAGCGACACGGAAGAAACAGTAAAACATCAGCCCGGTAAAACATTTCTTGTTTTTGACGCGTTTCATTTTGTTTTGGTTCCTGAAGTTTTAATACGTTACAGATCACTTGATCTTAATTTGAGGTTTATAGTGACTTTTTGGAACTGCTGAATTCATGACTAGAGCAGGGATTCAATGAGCGGAGTTTGAATTTACTGTGGATTTCTCCAGTTCACACAGAGCCAAAATTATTTATACGGCATCAGTAACATAGACAGGACACCAGAACTACATCTAAGCATGTTGGATCTCCAGCATAATTCTGACTGCACATTTGACCACTATTATTGGTAGAATTGGAGAAATTCATTCAAAGTGACCAGACCTGGTTTTTAAATAAGATCACATTTTTATTTGGGTTGGGTTGGGGCTTTGGGGATTTGGGTGGACTTTCTAAAACCCTTTACATGACCTCTTGTAGATTTTCCCAGGAGTGGTCAAATTTCCATCCAAAATTATTTAAAACGTTTTGAGGTAAGTTAACCAATGCACCTACATTAAAATGATGATTGGCTATTTAGAAGAAAAAAAAATCTCCCAGTTTACTTGAGACCAAATTCTTCTTTTGTAGAATGAATTAAAATTGCATTGTATGTAGTTACACTGAAAAAGGTGGTTTAATACAGCAAACCATTATATTCAGAAACTAGGCCTTCAATTCAGGAAGGGGAGAAACATAGATGACATGTATGGAAACAACGTTTCTTATCATTACTTGCAAAAGTGAATTAGGTTACATCCAAGTGGCATAAATTCAAAACATTTTGAATAGCTCCTAATTACTAACAATTCCTTTGTTTCACATGAAACAAGTATTTATCCCTGGCCAAGAATTTTTATGACTAAAGAAGGGAGGTTTCATGAAACACATGTGGGAACTCTGGATGACCAACTGACAGATCACAGAGGTAAAAAACAAAACAAAATTTAAAAAAAGCTCCAGCTGTTAGTGGGAAAGTTCCCAACATCATTCAGATCCTGAATGAAGGGTTCATCAACCACATTCTCTCTAACAGCAGCCACAGTCAAATTCTACACTACTGGCTTTACTGACACTGCGCTGTCCCAACAGATTCATTCATTCATTCATTCATTCATTCATTCATTCATTCATTCATTCATTCATTCATTCATATGTGTGAACGTTTGAAACATCATTCAACTTGTCTTTCCTTGTTTTTTATTCTTTTGACAAAATATATCAACTTTCAAGTTTAAATTTATCTCCTGTAGTATGTGAATATTCAAACCTAATGTTAACTACTGTGTTAAATGACCTCTGTGTGAAAGCTTTTGGGGGGCCTCTTGTCTCTCTATAAAGTAGGAGGGGTAATAGTGTGGTTTGGGTTTTAGTGTTATTTATGGTGAACATTTCAATTTATTTCTTCTTTTGTTTTGTAAAATGAAGTTGTGAGTTCACTATTAGAAGGAGAATGCATGTCATTAGGGTTTGTCCTATGAAGCTCTTTATGTGAGCAAATTAGTTTTAATTTATTGTCGATCACTCTAATACACCCAAGTCAACATTATCTGTCCAGGTTCAAATATTACCATGACAACCCTGCTAAAACTTTGCTCAAATTTTACCCCAGCAACACTGGGTTTGTAGTTATCAAGAAGTTTTAGATCAATATATCTGGTGGAGCCATGCTAACGCCGCCATGTTTCCCAGCTGGTACAGTGTTGTGAGGATTGAAAGTCTCCCATTGGTTCCTCCAAATATAAGAGTGAGGCAAAGCAGTGTGAGATTAAATGGAATGGCATTCCAAAATGTCTTCTCACACAACAAAACATCAGATACAAAATGTTATCAGAACAAAGTTTGCGGCTCGATTTTTCAAGTGACTCATGAGTAAAAGTTGCCATGTCACCCCAGGATGCCTGTCTGCAGTCATCCTGCGGTGATGACTGCAGACAGGATGTGACTAAACTGGAGCAAAGCCTGGTCAAAATCTGGAGTAGCAGGTGGTCCATAGAGGCTTCCCAACACGAAGCCTCTATGGGTGAACTTCAGCTGAAGCCCCAGAGTGAGGAACAGGGTGAAGGTATGAGTGAACATGGCGTTCTCCAGAGCAAGCTGTGGTGAATTTCAGGATACTATGAACAAGTTGAAACTACGGGGCACAGACAGATGGAGAAAAGCCATAACCGAGTCAGAAGAAATGACAATGGTGTTAAAAATTAGCTTCGCTCATATTCATACTTGCGTCACAACTTATTATAGTTTACGGTGTAACTGACTTTAACTCTGACTACATAGACTTGGTTATGTTCCGAGTTCCATGTTCGTCTTGATTCTACATTCATTTGCTCCATAAAAGATTGTCAGTCACTTTCCAAAAACTCCCAGTTCAGACGTTTTGGAACATATCTGTCAAGATTTTGATTTGAGAATATGGGAAATGTTGTCGTTGGAGGGAAACTAATGTAACATAAGAGTGGAGGGAGGGGGCGTAATACATGATGTTTACGGGAAAGTACTAATACTGGATACGGGAGCACAGTGGGAAAGGGGGGTAAAAACAGTAGTTCCCCATGAGACTTGACAGACTTAGTCCAGACTTACTCCAACAACTTACTCTTAAAGATTCATCTGCACCAAATAGATGTGAAAATTGTTTTTGGACATTTCTGTGAACTTATAATGAAAAAAAAAACACAATATTTGATCTATTGTGGGTAGTGATGCATCTACGAGGAATCCACTGTGTCTTTGAACTTTGTCTGGCTGTAGGACAAACTGTGATCTGACTGATAGCCCTTTTCTCAACTCTCGATTGAATATATTTTATTCCTTTGCCTGAATTTGTCTTTTAGATATTGGTGTACGACGTGAGGTCATGGGGTGATGCCCATTTCAAACATACCAGCACAGAGTTGCTGACGTACTCATCAGTGGTTTGCAGAAGTGTATCAAACTGCACCCAAATCAGCCTGTTCTTTCTGTGTTGATTAATTACGTGGTGGTGGAGACAACGTAGGCCTTTTGGGTTAGAATACAATGATAAAAGTTGCATAACTTTGGTTCACAAAGACATAAAACAACATCATTCCCAGGAGAGTGGGTGGGATATTGAACAGTCTACAGTAAATAAAAAAGGGAAAGCTTTGAAGGCACTTCAAGTCCAACACCACTGATGTTTGCTTGGTGCAGATCCTAAAACCATCCAGCTGCTCTTCAGAGTCCAAACACAAACAGGTTAACTTCTGAAATACTGAGTCAAAACACTACATGGTAGAAATAGTTTGATTTATTCGACTGCGTTGAGGTGCAGTGATGATCAAACAGATGTGTTTAAGATTTTGGAGAGTTTGGGAGCATTTCAATAACACGTGGCACAAGTGACTTCTGGCACTTTCAGCTGCCTGGAGATTTATGGGGAGGTGAAATGAAAAACATTTGAATAAAGTCAGACATCAGCTGAGAGGTTCAGATGAATATTAAAACAAAAGAAACAGCGAGAGCGGGAGAAAGTTACTTGATTGCACTATTTATGCCTGGTAAATAAATAATACCTCCCCTTTAAGTCATATAAATGCTTTAGTACACCCATCAGTTGCTTCCATGAAATTCTCTGCTACTTTTGGACGTCCTCATTTGCTTATGTGATCTCCATCATAATGAACCATATGATGCTATCAAACTTAACTTCTTCGTTTTATTGGTTGAGTCAGTGCACACAGACATGGTGACCAGGTTGTCTGTGCATTTCTTTACCCTGAAAATGTCTCCCAAACAGAACAATTTCTCTCTCAGCTTTCACTGATAAAGGAGGAATGGGTGAAGTGATTTAACCAGCGATTATCTGTCCTCAGTGTGTCCCTTAATT